GTACATTTACCTCTTTTAAAACAAAGTTGAATGAATCCATCTTTGAGTTTTTTTCTGTTTTGTTTGCACTAAACATTGTATATTGTTACATCTCTGTTTGTTGGTGTTAAGACTTTGGTTATCCCTTAAAAAAGTTTACAAGAGGAATCTTTATCATTGCAAAAAACAAATGAAGTCAAACATGCTAATATATTTACCAAAATAACCAAAGTCATTACTAATCTTATAACTATCATATTGATATAACCCTTTCTTCAGAGCATTTTTTTTAGACTTGCCTTGATAATTCTTACATAGCTGATAATGGAGTGTATTATTGTAAAATATAGATGGGAACTTCTTTGATATACATAAACATATATAACCTTACTGTGTATATTATTCAAATAAAATAAATTTAAAATGTATCTTATGTTATAAGTCTGGCTAATATTACCATGCCCAAGAAACTGGCTTTTACAAGTCATGCTATGCTTTACAACAGATATTATACAGGTTGCTAACAGAAATCCCAAACACTTGCTGTTCAGAGCAAGAACCCAAACATCTTCTTAGCAAAATCACACCATTTACAGAAACTTTAAACTAATATAAATGGTAGCGGGGAAGAAGGGCAGGACTTCTTGGATGACCGAACACTATCAGCACCATTTGACAAACCTCCCCCCCCAGTTGGATCTCAGCTGGACATCAGAGTCAAATCCTTCATGAAGGGAACATGTTGCAAATTCTGTTTTTTTTTTTGTTTGTTTGTTTGAATTTTTGCGTCAAAGTCTGTTGGCCTTTGTCTTAACTTTGTGTACAGAGCATTGCACCATAGTGATTGACATTGATAATTCAGAACACACACACACTATATTGTTTTGTACAGAGTAAAGAATGGCGACAATAACTGGAATACATAAATATATTTTTCTTTCGATTTTATAAGTCATCACATATGTCAGAAAGAAGAACAATATTACCCTGATTTGCTGAAGAAGAACTTTATGGTATCCACATAGCTTTTATTGAACAAGAGTAGCACAAGTTTACACACTCTATTAGCTTAATAGTTGACTGTATAGTATTTATTTATTTAGAAATTAAAGGAATAAGGACTTGTTTTACTGGCGTGGATTCTCACTCATTTCCTTGACTTTTAAAATGCCACAGAGTCTCTTGGTTTCAATGTAAAGTTGCACAGCTTGCGCCTATCATGTTAAAAGTAAAAATCATGTGAGTACTCTTTCTTAAAAAGCAGAGCCTCGTGTCTGACGGCAAAACACGAGCGCCTCTAACGTCAGCCGGCCGTCAACCAGCGGCCCTTTAACCACTGTTGACCCCCACGACAGACCTGGTATCAAATATTAGGTGAAATAAAGGCTTCAAATGCGGTCGGAAAAGACACGAGTGTCGAGAGGTTCGGACTGCTGAAGTCATTTTTCAGATGCAGATCATCACGTCTGCTACTCCACTCCAGGTTGTTTTGGAGCGAATCAGGCTGAATGGTTTTGTGTTTGTTGTTGTTTACCAGACTGGCAGAAGAATGTTAGAAACCCCAGGTATGTCCCTTTAGCTACAAACATGTCTGCCATGTTGTTATTTTTGTTTTTGTGTGTGAAGTTATTACAGAAGGCAATAAGTGTCCAGATTAAGTTTCCACTTGTAATTGGCTTGCCATACAGTGCAGTGATATAGTAACTTCCCCTGAGGCGGCCTGGAAAAACAACTTTCGGCAGGCTCTTCCCGGCCGCCCCAGGCTAAACCCCCTCCTCTTTTAAGTCACAAGTAGAAATCAGTTTACAAATGATAACAATATAGCTCTCTGAAGAAATGTGTCTACACTGTACATCGCCCTGAAGAGGAAGCCAAAGCAGAATCAGTTTTTCCATAGGAAACCTCTACTGAAGGCAAATGAATCATGACGCCAAGGGGGTCAGCATCAGAATCAAACGTAGGGGCCCTGGAATCAAAACCCTCTTTTTTTTTTTGTCTTTTTTTTTTTTTCGCTTAAGACCACAAACATACCATCACACCCTGACCAAGAAATAGACCGATCCTGTCCAGATACTGCATTTTCTAGAAGCCAAGCAACGATACGTCCCTCAGAACTCCTCATATCATTACATGGTTCAAGAAAAGTTCGTAGATCTAACCTTTGCCGGGCCAAACGCTTATATTACTCACTAGTTTGTAGACCTAGCCATGTCAGGTAATAGACTTATTCAAGCAAGTAGTCAGCAAGTACACCTGCAGCATTCACACCAGGCCGTTTTTAGCAGCAAATGGAAGAAAAAAAAAAAAGATTTTCTTTTTGGTATTTTTTTTTTCTTTTTTTTGACAAAGTGCTGTTGTCTTTTCAAACATATAAGGTAATCTATACATATAACATTTAGAAGGTACATGTTAACTCATAGCTTATTTACAAAATATATACCTACTAGGAAAATAACTACGGACGGAAAGGGTAGAGCAAATTATTGGGCTACAACTAGTCAAAGAAGTCAAAATGTAAATCTTGGAAACTTGTCATTCTAGTTTCAGAAAAAAGCACCATTTCTCCCTTTTAGATGGAAAAAAGGAAATTATATTTAGAGCATTAGCCATTACTTAATCACACGGCACAAAACGAGAGACACTCACAGTCATTAGAAACTGCTCTGTAAATGAGAAATACAAAACCTCAAACTGCCCTGGAATCAAAACTCGAGTTCATTTTGCATCCTGATAAAATTAAAAAATTGATTCTTAATTTGTTGAGGTTTGGGTGCAACAGATGGACACAACATCTGATACAAGGTATAGAGTTTCTACCAGTATGGTGTGAGCAATGTAATGTGTATTTGTAAGGACCTGAGGGCAACGAGAAGGAAACGGGTAAAGGTCAACCATGCACCTCAAAGGGTAATACCTATAAATGCTGACTTCATTTACTTTATTGTTAATCCAGAAAAATACGTTGAAATAAACAGGAAACTGGATAAGCGATTTTGAGAATGAACGACACAGATCAGTGATAGCCCAGTGGAAAACTCAATTTTTTGTTCCCTTTCAGGGAATGCATCACAGCTAAGAGTGGCGATGATATTCAGTGACGTAAAAGAGACATGTTAAGGATGACTGAGGTGTTTGAGAGTAGCTAAACATCTTGGGAAGCTTATTTTTGTACAGCGGCATGTTTGGTTGACCCAGGTAGCTACAGTTGGACTTCACCATTTTATATTTTTAGGTATTTTCTGCCTCACCTTTTTTTTTCTGGGGTATGAAAAGGGAGTCTCTGCAATAGGAAGTCAGTTTGTAGCTACCTTGGTAACGTTTCACGGAAATGGAAAATTAGCAAGCAAATTTCTTATTGATGCTGCTGATTCCAGGTCAGTGTGAAGCAGCTTTTAAAGTCCCTGGTTAGGACAGATTTTTAAGCCTCCATGGAGTTATCCTCCATAACTACAGCCTGTCTAATGACACTGACGGTTTTCGATATCGCGTCTGAAATGATCCAGTCCTGGTTTTCCGTCTTTCTCGCTTTCAGCAAAGAAACTGAGTGGATTTCTGCAACAATTACCAGATCAGTCTGACTCTTCTTTCTCTCCTTGCCACTTTCACTGATCCATGAATATCTCAAAACCAAAAAAAGGCGAAACTAACAAGCAGCGTAAATACAAAAATATACTGTTTTGTGTTGTTTTTTTCACTAGCTTTTTAAAGGCAAGGACAGACAGTAGAAATGTGACATGCTTAGAAATAAATCATTGTCATGAAAAGTTGATTTTCACAACTCAAAGATATATAGCATTGATGCTTCTATATACAGTACTTTGAAACACAACTCAAATAATATTCTGCTCATGAACTAGACCTCATCTACATACAGAAATCAAACGAGTGACAAGAATATTTTGGTTATTTCAGGAAATATATTGACAAGCAAAAAAAAAAAAAAGAACAAATTTAGCTTATCTACTAGTGAGCGCTTGGGTTTTTTTTTTTGTTTGTTTGTTTGTTTCCTAGCTAGCGCCATTAACACATTTAGCATGTGCAGGGAGGAATCAGTTTAGGAATGAAGTGCTTTCCTAAGCAACAGAGGAAATCTACAGGAAAAAAAAAGCCCACGTTGCAAGGGACACTAAATGAATGTTCCTTTTCTGTACAGAATTGGACCCAAACTAATTTCACAGTTCTATGAAGTTCCCTGACCCTCCCACGTTTCTTACATTCAATACGGCGTCAGATAAGCTGTGCAAAACCTTACTTTAACTGGCTGGTCGCCATTTTTTCGTTGCATGTGTCTTTGGTACAAAAAACAATCAAAATATATAGTGTGCAAATATTTGTTGTAACCCTAAAGAAAAAAAAAATCTATTAACCCCCCCACCCCCCCAGACTCATATCCCCGAAAGACAAGAGTACCAAAAGAGACAGGAATCTATTGCAGAGCCCTCCTATATACACAGACTCTGTGGCATTGCGCAACAAGAGCTTCCGTTTGTCTATGTACATTCATAATATCTTTAAACACCTTGTGTCTGTCCTCTACCTCCCTAACGACCATCTCTCCTAAAGCCGGACCCTGGGGGAGTTCTGGTCCGTCTCTAACTCACAAACACACGCACACACAAACACTCGTTCAGACCTACAGAGACGCACACATACATATACAAGGCACAATGAATAGAACTCTGATCAAACACTAGTATGAACACATCAAACTGTCACCACCACGCTGCCTGGTCAACTCTACTGTACAAAAAAAGGGGGGAAGAGCCGATGCCTGGGAGACACTTCTATATACAGTTCTCTGGAGGAGATGGGTCGCTGTTCATGTCATCTTTGTCGCCATCCTCTTCGTTGTTTTTTCCAGTCCAGTTAAAACCAGCAGAAAGCCCCATAAAAAGCACCATGCTACATGCACTTCCGTCTCACGTTGATAACCACTTCCTATTGGTAATGGTAACACGTTGAAGCCTCTCCCCCACCAAACTAGCAGGATGTGCGTTCACTCAGATCATCTACTGTGTCTCTTTTTTTTACATCTTGCGTTAACGTTATACCTGTTTTTTTTTACAAGCAGCTGAGCTGATTGGCAAACAGGGGATGATGGCGGGAATTTATTTGGGCCTTCAGTACAAATATTTCCTGCCACTCAGCTTTTTTTTTTTTTTTTTTCCTCCAGCCCTGCAGCTTTCTCAGCCATCAGAGCCATCTTTGTAAAAGTGCTTCAGTGAAGGGGTCAATTTAACATCCTGGAACTTTTTTGGGGGGATAAAGCTCCTTATATAAATGACAACTTATGCTTCTTCAATCAGTGATTGTTTCTGGCATGTAACAACATTCCCTCTGTCTTTATTACCACCTCAAACAAAGTCTTCCAGTGGTTATGCTCATATGAGCGGCAGCCTGAGTCCCTACGTCATGCCAATCTAGCAACCACCAGTGGATTTAAGGAAGGTGCTGTTATACAGATACATCTAACCATCACTTGCTTGTGGATGTGCTTCTCCCAACAGCTGGTCACCATGGTCGGGGAGACAGTGATGCACTGACGAAGCACGCAGCGTGCAGAGACGGAAAAAGCCAGGGTTCTTGGCATACAGCTGCACGACAAAAACAAGCACACGTACCTACGCACGGGGGAGGTGGTATGTGTGTTTGAGTGATTGGCGATGAGAGTTTACTCTGAGCTGTAGGGGCATGCAGAGAGGGGAGAATAGTTACAACGGACAGCACGGTGGTAATATGTCGTCCACTCTGCTCGGTGGACGGAGGGATTGTCTACATTTTAGAGGTGGGGACTCGCAGGCCGACCAGTCCTCCGGTGGGGTCACCGCGTCCTGTGTTCTCCAAGATCTTGTTGACAAAGTCTGAAGTCTGCCCGGCAACAGGTGATGGCACTGCAGGCAAACAGAGACACAGAGTTGTCTGGTTTTATTCTTCTTTCACCTGCAGTAAAATGTTTTTTTTTTTAAATGTAGAAACAAAAATCTGTTTTAAAATGAGGATCTGCTTCAATTTTTATACTAACCTAGCCTAGTAAATTAG